AGTGTAATTTGCTTACGGAGTCTTATCTGCACCTTTAGCTACATAGCCCAGTCCTCTGGACTTATTCTTTAGAACTGGATGGCAAAGAAGTTGTGTCTCACTTCCAGGGCTGCCCTAGCCCCAGGATACTGACTGAGTAAACATAAAAAGATCAAAATTAGGACTGTCATGAGTTCTACACACTTGCTAGGGATGAGAGGTCACGTAATTTGCTTTCCCATGAATTGGGAAAGTATTGTAAAGTAGCAAAGATCCACCTTCCCTCCTCTTTTGGCTTAGCACTTCTCTGCAGTGAAAGAGCATAAAATAGTAATCTGCCACAAAGCCATTTTAAAGTTTCTTGGTCCACAATCCCATCAAGCCATGAGTGCTAACTAGTATGTTGTTTGTAGCCAGGACATTTCAAGAAAGACAAGAGATAGGAAAAAAATGAGAATGCTCTTCAGATGTTACAATTTAACTTGAGGGCCCTTAGAAACTGAGAGTATTCACAGAGGTTTTCTGTTATAAGACTATGTCAAGTAAACCTAGGAAGCAGACTGTACAGGAAAATGTTAGTACATGAGATTGCTGTCTGGCAGAAGGAAAGTCAGACCTCATAGTAGGATGTAGAATGATGCTAAGTAAATGGTAGCAACTAAACTACCATGCAACAAGCACAGTTGCACGGTACAGCAACATCTAATTACAGCCATCTAATTATGAAAAACTTCAAAAAGCATCAGCTGAAATACCTGAATCATGTGAGATGAAAGGACAGACAATAAGAGAGGCTCTAATAGCATGGATGACAAGATCTAGCAGGCATAGTACAAGGACATTCAGAGAAATGATGGTCTATGAAGGAGGATGGATAATCCTAGTATGTGAATCTAGAAAGAAACAGGTGAAAAAAAAAACCAAGAAAAAATAAACTCAAACCAAAGGACAGAACAAAAGTGCAGTTCTGAATAAATGGGCTTGGTATTACACTAAGTAATGTAGCCATCTAAACTGTTTCTGCTGATAGGACTGCAGTTTAGACCTCAGTCCTAGCCTCTGTATGCCTCTATTCCAGTTACAAAGAGGATAATTTATCTTTTTCAAAGTGACATGGTATGATCCTCAAATACTAAAGGAATTCCTGAGAGATGAAAAAGCTACTTTTGTCAGAAAAGCAGAGACTAAAATGATCTTAAATAGAATGTATCTTATTTAATGATATTCAGTGAGGACACTGGTATTGCCAGCACACTGTACCATTTTACTATTAAACCAGAGTGCCTGCAAATAACCTTATTTTACTCTTGGTTTACTGCAAGAAGTTGTTATTAAAACTAATCAAAGTTTACATATAGACACAAACTAAATATTAGTCATGCATAAGCATTTATGACAGGATGTGATAAATGCCTTATTTCCATGATAAAAGTAGGGATTGTTGTCTGAGCTTAAAAGCTTCTGGTTGGGTATTTACACTCTAGGCTATGGACATGCTTACCTGATAAAGATTTAGTCTGTGGAAGAGTCTTCCTGTAAAGTACTGAGCTTCTCCTCAAAATTATTAAGACTAGATTAAACATAAAGACCAGATAGAAAACATTGATGGGGGAACAAGATGCACAGTTTAATGATCACTGATTAGAGACTCTGGACTATCTAATCTGAGAGACTTTCTGGCTACCTGGTAGGATATTTATTCATTAATATCTCCAAAAGAAAGAGCAAATTCCCATAACACCACGTCTGGCAATGTGGGATTGTAAAGCAGGAGCTAAATATTACCACTAATTACTCAGTGATCAATAAAAAATATTACTCACTGAGACTATCTATTGATGATTTCATTTTCACTGGAGGTTTATAACATAACATATATGAAACAGCAGTATGAGATGAGGTATGCTGTACTGCACATATCAATAAGAGAGAGAAACAGAAGTTACATCAGCAAGGCTAATTTTCAACAAACATTCTTGACTTGAAATTTTAAATTAACATATTTTAAAATAGAAAAAATTATCTATATTCATAGTAGCATAAATGCCCAATAATGTAATGTAATCTACTTATGTTATAACAATACAGACACAGTAACATTTTCAATTGCCAACATTTATTCAATAAAGTGCTCAACATCAGTCAACTGACAAAGTTTACTCCCTGCAGACAGGAAGAAATAAGGAAAGCAAACCTTATAAAGGCTGAAGGAAAAAGGAGAAAAGGCTTTACTGGGAGGAAAAAAGGGCGGGTAGCTGGAGAAGAGTGTTTTCTGCAGTGGGGCACTGTGTCATAAATGCTGATTGCAGAGAACTTCCAGCTAATAAATTCTTACCTGTATTTCTGGAACCTGTAATTACGAAAAAAGATGACATGTGGGGAAGATGAAGTATTATTCCATGAATTATTGATAGTGACCTTTTTAGAGGTTGAAGTTCTACATTAGATAAGGTGAGCCAAAACTCAATGAAGTCACAGAAAAATTTCAGTTTTCCATCTGCTAGTGACAGGCCATGCTGTTATCACCTCCATATACACACCCACACTACTGCTCTGTTTGTTTCCTGACAAAATTTTTATCTCTGGCTTTGCATAGCTCCAGGGTCTCTGCATAAAATTTTTGGTCTCTTTTTATAGGAATCAAGTTATTGAATACCTGTTCTGGGAACACCCCAATAAACATTTTTTCCAGCCAATTTGAGTCAAAGGCAAAAATTGTCATTGCATTTTTCAGAATCCCTGCCCACATATTTAGAGAGATCTATAGAGATTTTTCAAGAAAATCTAAAAGATGGTGCTTTGATCTCTATTTCTAGAAAACACACTGAATTAAAAAAAAACAAAAACCAAAGAAAACCAAAACCTTGTTTGGCGTAAGTAATTTACAAAAAGACAAAAAAAATCACCTAGAAGGCCAACAAAATGTTTCTAAATCTAGGTATATATTATGGAAAATGCACAAAATTTTATGAGGGAAAGAACAGGAAAATTTCTCCATCTCTTTTTTTTTATCTGATAGGATAATTTTTTTAATGTTTATAAAGCTTCAGCCTTGTTTTTAACTTTTAGGAAACTAGATCCAAGAACATGTCATTATTTTACTAAACTATTTGGTTCTTGCTCGTCTAAGTTGTGTTTTCTCATGTGATGCTTGCCAATAAATCAATACTCTCTGTTTGAGAATGGACATGTCTTGTGAGCCACCCACCAAACAGCTCACAAGAATCTTCAAAGTGAGATTGCAAAGGATCTCCTGAAGCTAGTTTCCCTACCTGAACCACCCAAAAAAGTTGGCAAGCCTTTCTAAGAGCTTGCTTGCTCTGGACTTCCATCAGATAATTCCAGATCTCCATTTGTAAAAACTGGTATACTCCAGGATGTACTTGGAATTTAACCATTTTTCAGTAAACAGTATGAAATGACTGCCCTATCTGATGGCATGGCATTTTGGTTAATGGAACATTTGTTTGTATTCAAACCTCTCATGTTTCTCATGAAATGCCATCTGTTTGATTAAGTGAAATGATGTACATATGTGATAAGATGTCACAGTTGGAAAAGGGATATATTTTTAAGGTGCTCTAAATGCCAAAAGCATTTATGAAATCTGATATATGTGAATTGACAGCATGCTACACTTAAGAAAGTCAACTTTTATTATGGAGGACACAAAAATTGTCTCCTACAGATATGTCTCTATGGTGTGCTAAAGCCATAGACAAACAAACAAATGTGGTGAGATTTTCTTGTAGGCAAAATCAATAGCTTGCGGCTGCTGCTTCCTGAAACAGTACACCAGGGATCTCTCTTGCCACTGCTGAGTGGCATGTAGCAAAGCTTTCATAAAGTTATGAAATGCCTTGCAATTCACATGAATCACTCTTAAACTATTGTAAGCATTTGTATCTACCCAAATATTTTGTCTGAATACTTCAAATTTTGTTAAGAGGAATGAACACTGAGTCTGTGAGCACCTGTAGGACTGGAAACGTGAATAGGTATGAAACTTAGGATAGCGATGCCATTAATCAGCGAAAATCCTGATACAGATTACATGGTTCTTAGGCCTCCTTCTCCCTCCCCAACCTTCCCCCTCAGCCCCTCAGCTCCTGTGTTATCCAAAGTCTGTGCCAAATAGCTTCAAAAACACAGGAGACTCATTGTCTGTCCTGGATGAGCAGGAACACCCATTTCACAAGGAGCTGCGAGCACTGGCTGTGCATTGCAGGAAGGCTGTCTAGGCTGCACCGTTTCCAGCAGCCTCAGAGCACTGAAAGTGGCAAGAGGAGCTGTGATTTCTGCAGCACAGTCACACAGGGTCGTCCTAAGGACCTGCAGGATATACCTTGTGTGGGGATGTCTCTGCTCGTGGAGAAGGCTTGGACACCTTAACTCTACTCCCTGTATGTGACATGACAGGTCAGGGGTTATCAGGTAATCATAGAATGGTTAGGGTTGGAAGGAACTTTAACGATAATCTAGTTTTCAACACCCCTGCCCTGGGCAGGGTCAGCTCCCAGGAGACCAGGTCGCTCAGAGCCCCATCCAGCCTGGCTTTGAACACTATCAGGAATGGAGCATCCACAACGTAACGTGTTGTGGGCAGATTTTGTGGATGGTATGCTCCGAGACTTCTTTATGGTCTGTCAAAAATACTGACGCGCGCACTCAGGGGGGAAGAGGAGGAGGCTCAGAGAGCTCCAGCGGAGCCGCGGGGCGGCATCTCTGGGCATGCCGGCGGAGCTGGGCGCCGGGGCACACACCTGAGACAACCCCGCCAGCCCCGAGACCCTTCCCCCGTCCCGCCCCGTCCAGCGCACCCGCACGCCCCGGGGGACGGGGCTGCGCCTCGTCCCGCCCCAGCCCGCACCGCGCAGCGCAGGCAGGGCGTGAGGAGAGAGGTGCAGGCAGCCCCCAGCCTGCCGCTTCTCCTTCTCAGTCTCCCTTCCTCCTCCTGCCCCGCTGCGGCCCAGCGCCGCGGCAGTGCCGCCCCGGGGAGCGAGGGCAGAGCCCGGCGCAGGATGGCCGCGCCGCCGGGCTCGGCGGGGCTCTGGGCGCTGCTGCTGCCGCCGCTCCTCGCCCTCAGCGCCGCGCAGCCGGGCCCCGCCGCCTCCCGCGGGACGGGGCGCAGCCTCCACCCGCCCTACTTCAACCTGGCGGCGGCCGCCCGCATCTGGGCCACGGCCACCTGCGGGGAGGCGGCGGGCGGCGGCGGGCGGCCGCAACTCTTCTGCAAGCTGGTGGGGGGCCCGGCCGCAGCCCCGCTGGGACGCGCCATCCAGGTAACCGGGCGGCCGGGGCCCTTCCCCGCTCAGCACCTCCCCATCCCGCGCCGCATCCCCGGGCTGGGTGGGTGGGTGGGTGCGTGTCTTTTTAGGGGGTCTGACGTGACCCTGCTGTGCTCGGTCTCGTTTCCTCCCCGCTGGGAGAGTGCCATGGGAATAGAAGGGGAGCGTGGAGCGGCGGGAGCCCAGACGGGGAAGTGCCGGGCAGGATGGATGGAAGCGGCTCCTCTGCCCGCGCGCCTGCCCTCGGGTGT